CTGCTGATTAGGGTAGCTGTTCAGAGAGCTGAGAAAGTTGCCTGCTTACCCAATCTTTGGACTGTAAAAAATTTTCCTTGAAAAAACAAAAAACTAGTTTATCTGAGTTTATCTGAACAGATGTTCTCTGTGTTTTCCTACCAGTTGTTACCCTAAACTTGTTTCCCTTGTAGTGATAAACACAGGAAAAAGCAAGTTTGTCACAATTCATTTCTGTTTGTAAGCAGTCTTGTGGATTGCACTTGCCTGAAGGCTCTATTTGTTTTTGTGGGCATAGGTGGTTCTGTTGGTCTGTCCCGTTCGAAAATAGAATGTGTGGATGGAAGGCATTTCGTTGTAGCTAAATATTATTGCTGTCTCTGTTTTTAATCATGCAGATACACTTACATTCTTTATTTCCACTGAATTTACTGGAATAATTTATAATAGTAGATATGAGTGTACTTCAAAGTTTGTGTAGGGTTAAAACCACTATATTATGTGATTTGCAGTTCTACTGCTTACGTTTCAACTTGGTGCTACTGTTGAAAGTTCAATATAGGGGTACAAAAATTGAAAAACTGATAACAGAGCTTCTGAGTGCACCGTAAGGAGTCCAGTACATTCCATGCAGCAGACAAGAGACAGCACATGGCAAAGAGTAAGGTAGTGGGGGAGAGAGGCTTTTTGGTCAGTGCTGACCAAGACAAAGTAAGTGGTTAATGGCAACTGTAATTGGACGAATTAAAACCTTCAAAGAGAGGTGTGTGTGTGTGTTGTTTGTTTGTGTTTAACATTAGGAGCAGTTAAATATGGGGACAGCATCTTGGAGTGAATGAGGGACTTGCTAGCCCTAAATTCATAAGGGAGGATTACATATCTAATTTGACTTCAGAGTAGGTGGCTGTGGTGTTTTGCTCTGATCTTGCATCCTAGGGAGCTGCAGACCCCTGCGTTTCTCTCCACTCAGGAGCCCCTGGGAGAGGGCACCAAACATGCCTGCTTTGCCCTAAACTCCCCTTAGCAGCTCCTTGTCATAGCACCGACCGTGATGTGATCAGCTCTGTTTCTGCTGGTCACCTGCAGGACGGGAAGATCACTTTCCCAGTCGATACCTCGTCAGGTGATTCTTGGGATTTTAGGTTGCCTTCCTTTGAATCCACAGACACCAGCAGACATGAGACAAGATGGAGCAGTGCTCTGATGTGATGGCGCAAAGGATCTTTTTTGTTAAATGCATGGCTGGTGTTCTTGTGTCTGGGCACAGACAGAGCACCTGAGCGGGGTTTGGGAAGTTACTGATGTGAACCTTTGCTGCCCCTGTCTGCAGGGTGATGCTATAGATTGTGTATGGGCATCTGAGTCTGTAGCACAAATACACTACCTGCCTATCCAGAGGCTCTGTGGGTTGCTGATGTTTTTGCCTGTTGCAGTCAATGCCTTTGGCTGCTGAAAGTTGAAATGCTTTAGTTAAACTACAGTCCTTGGGATTAATACAGCAATGCCTGGGTAGAATTTGAGAGCCTGTGATATATTAATGATGTAACTAGATGATACAGGTGCTGTTTCTTACTTTAAATTCCATAAAACTCAGCTTCCACTCCTGTAGTTTATACAAAATAGAGCTGTCTATCTGTCCTTTTTTAGTGCATTAATAGGGTTCTGAATAGGTGTAGTAAGTTGGTCTCATATAAAAGTCCTGAGGCCAAGTCTGCATTTAAATTTGTTACTACATATTGATGTAGGAGCTTTTTTGCAAAATTTATGCAGCTGCAGATGTTTTTAACAGAGGTCTGTACCAAGTGTAAACTAACTATGCTACACTTAATAATAAAAAAACCCCAAAACTGCAAACTGTTTTCATAATCTCCATAAGGTATACTGCCAGTTTGCTTAGTAAAGCTTGTTTTAGTGCTTTTAACCTAACAAAGTGAAGCTACTGTACCAAAAGATGTCTCTTGTATCAAAAGTAGTATGTGACTGGCCTCTTCTTATCCCTGAAGTGCTAGGAAGCTCCAAAGGAAGATAATCTCTGTGTCCTTGAAAGGAGAGGGCAACTAATTTTATCACTTAATAATGCTTCCCTGAAATAATCAGTGAACTGAGAGAATGAGACTGAAGAAGTGTTGCAAAGGTCTGAATAAAAGACAGCTGCTGTTAGCAGATTGCCAAAGAAGAGGCATATATATATTTTTTGTATATTTAAATATATTTCAGTTGGAGATTTCTAGTTTCTTTGTAAGATTACATAATCGGCTTAAGGTCCACAGACCAGTGATGCCCACCTATGCCCCTTGCAAGACAGTTAAACGATACCAAAGGAAAGGGAGACGTTTAGGTTTTTAAAGATCTGTGTCACGGCATATGTTAAGAACGCCCCCAGTTGCCTTTGCTGGGCGCTCTGTGGGGTATGTCTGTACTGACTGACGAGGGGAGAAGCGTGTGTGTACGTGTGTATTCAAGCTTAGTTGCTTGACTTGAAATAGAATTGAGAAAAGATGATCATTTGGCTTATGACTGACTTGATGACTTGCTTGAGGCCGAGTCTAGAGAGGAGTTTAAGGCTAAGCTTAAGTACGTACGTAATTCAAGGTTGCTGCAGGTTTTCTGGGCTGGCCTGCAAGTTGCTGCTTCCAGGTAAAACGAAGTTGAGAACATACTGTTTATGCTGCATCTATATAACTTTTTGAATTGGAAGCTGAGTATGGATAGTTTTTCAGGACTTCATCTGCAGAGATCTAGCTGCTTCCTTAACGAAATAAAGCTGGTACTTAGTGCTTTATTTGTTTGTTCATTTCTTGAGAACAAAGGTAAAAGAATATTGCTCTGTGAATGTTATCCGTGCCTGAGGATGGACTTTTTGCGTGTCAGTCCTGCAGCACTGACCCCAGTGTGTTATGTGGAGCAAGGGATGATTCAAACACTGACTTCATTTAAAGTAACCTTTTCTTAGCCAATGCCTATGAAAACAACTCAGTGCGTTTCCAGTGCTTAATAACAACTGTGGTGATGCTCCTAACTAACCACTTGCTATCCTGAGAGCCGTTACTCTGCTAACATAAGTTATGACAGAAGGCCTCCTCTATGAGGAAAATGCAAACCTTATGTTAAATACAGGTCGCAGGATGAATGTGTCTATAGCAAATATTGGGAAGGAAGAAGAATCTTTTAGGCTTCAGAATAAGCTATTTTGTGTATGCTTTTGTTAAGCTAAAACTGTCTTTTGTATAACCGAAGTGTATGTATTATATGCAAAACACAGAGGTTATGAAGCTTTACTCAGATGGTTTTGTTTATAGCCCAAGCCACCCCAAAGATGGCATTCTGTTGGAAAGCGAGTTATTGAAGTTTGAGTAACTGAGTAGAAGTACATCATATGGTTTTTAGTTTTAATATTTTTTTTGTTATGACTCCAGAAGTGAATGCTTTTTCTCTTTTTTTTTTTTTTGAGGCTTTGGATGAAATTAAATTAAGAAGGGTTGTTCTAGTTTTGAATTGCTACCCAGATGTTCTGTGGCTCTGATGAATAAATAATCTTGAAATATGTTTTGTGTTTAGAAACTGGCAAGGTATTCACCTGGGGTAGAGCAGACTATGGGCAACTTGGAAGGCATGCAGGGGTTCCCGATGGACAGGAGGCGTGCAGAGCATCTGAACATCACTTGGAGTGCTTATGTAACATCCCTATTTCAGTGCCTTGCCTCGACGGAGCGTCTCAGGTAAGGAAAAAAAATTACCTCCCCCCACCCCAGGTTTTTCTTGGGTACATTAAGATAATCAGAACAATTTCCTAATAGAACTTTTGCAAATGCTGTAGTAAAAACCCTCACTGCATTTCCTGTAAGCTCTGAAGTTAATGTGATTCAATAATTTCAAATTTGTAAAAGGCTTTTGCATTCAGAAACTGACTTTTCCTTGGTAGAAACAGAGTTACCAACAGCTAAAGATGCTGAATTCTCTCAGATAGCAATGTGTTCTGGAGATAGGTGCAGCTGTAATGAAGTGTAGCAGATGAGGTGGGACCCTGCCAGGCTGCTGTGCTACTTTTGTCTGAAACCCTCTGTAATGGTTTAGCCAGTGGCCTTTTTCTAGCTGACAAACAATAATAACGTAGCAGTTTCTATCTCAGGCTGTCTAAGCACATCATGAATATTTATTTATCTTGTGACATCCTTGAGTAGCATTGTGGGTTTTCTTCTCATACGGCTAATTTGAGGCCAAGTGACTTATCCAAAGATATAAAGAAGATTAGAAAGAACATATTACTCAAGGGCTCAGGGTGTTCCCTGTAGTCTGACGCGACATATAGCTTGTACTGCCCGCAACTTTTTTTTTTTGCTTTTTGGTGTTTGTGATGTAGCATATCATAATTAGCCTGTTGGGAGGCAACGTGTAGGTCCTGTCTGGGCAGATGTCGAGTCAAAACGCGTACATCTCCCTGCAGGGAAGCTGACAGTCAAAAGGCAAGAGGGTGCAGGGTAACGGCTTCAGCTGTGAGGTGTGTGTTGCATCACAGCCCCCAGCAGAGTGCTTGATGGCAGGTCTTTTGTTAGACGAGCCAGTCTCTGCCCTTCTCATCGTGAGCCTTGTTCTGCGTATGTATGCGCATCACAGATGTGAAGTGGAGCCTCAGAGTCCCAAGGTACTGAACGTCTGAATAATCCCTCCAGTCCAGTGTTGACTCCAGTGAGTCTCAAACAACTCTTGCCCGTTTTTAGTTGGGTGCCCCTGCTTTTGTCAGATATCTGCAAAGAACACCGCTGTTGCATCTATGTCATGCTGTTATTCGTTTGTGCTTTGGGTAATGCTTCGAGTATGAAATTTTCTGTTGTTTCTGGTACAACACAAAGCCAAGGCAGTCATAGCTTTTGCCTGGAGGAACTTACACTTGGCAGGACAAGTGATCCATGAAGGTGAACAAAAGGGATGCAATGAGATGTATTCCTTGAAAAGGAAGTGTAAAAACAATCTCATATTCATTCTGCTGCCCTCAGAGCTGTTCCTCCTTATAGACCTGTGAGAGACCTGATTTGAGTGATTAGCCGTGGCAGTGTTCTGGTGCAGGCATTGTTCTTCGCAGAGCTAGCAGTGTGAAGATGATTTAAGAGAAGCATGATGAAGAGCAAGCATCGTTTGTACCCTGAGAGGAGCTGTATTGGTGAGAAAAGGAAAAAGCAGATAACAAGAGCCTGAATTACTTAACTTCAAGGTTATTAAATAATGTTAGAGTTAAAATTTTTACTTAAAATTGCTTTTAAATTGCAGTATGTAGGCCATGTGGAATAGGTACAAGCCTTAGCTGTTTTTTTCTCTACCCCATACTATCCCTTTTCCTTTTGTTGTCATTTGGAGAGGTTTGATTTGAGAGCTGAATTAAAATGAATATAGAGAGGACGAATTCTTTTCCATATTTACCATGAATTAACAACTTTGATTTGTATTTTAATACAGAGAGCTGACTTAACAAATGAGGCTTAAAATTAGTATGATCCTTATCCGCAGCCTATCTTTATATGTCATTTTAAATGATTGAGCCGAACTTCTGGCCAAGTTGTGATTTGCTGATTTCTTCTGCACTAGAGATGGTTTTAAAAGCTAAAATGGAGAAACTGATCTCAAGAATTGGAGGACAGAGTACAAAACACACAAAGCATTGAATTGAAGTTAAAATCTACTGTGCTGTCCCTAAAACAATCTCTTGCACTGCCTGTTGTCTCTGTACCTATGGCTTACCTGCTTTCTCCCTCAGAGAGTGGGGGTTCTCCATTCTGTGTTGAAACTGATATGACATCCTGTGTAATTATCACTCAAAAACTATTTTTAAAGTGTTGAGTTTCCTATTCCTTTTTGAGTTTGGCTTCATCTCACATGTTTACTTGGAGACATTGACCTTGAGAAATATGAGCGTGTTCTCTTCCCCCTCTCCTTTCCCTTTTTAGTTGAAGCAACGATAACACAAAAGCATAAAATAATCTAATTTTATGCCAATATAAGTATGCCTCCCTGGCAGTTTTAAAAGATTACCTGTGGTAGCTTTACTTCTTGAAGAAAGAGTGTGGACATCAGGTTCCTGGAGACTCATATGTTTAAACTCTGTGAATTATGAGACTGCAGGTCTGCTTATTATTTTCCTTTCAGTGCTTCGGTGCATGACTGCCATGGAATAGGATGAAGCAGGGAAAAGAAACTTCAGGCTGTAGCAGTCAGTTGTGCAAGACATTATGCATGCAGGGCTCTGGTGTTGTGGGGCGTCCTTGATTGCAGCTCTTCAGAACATCTGACTCATCTGCTGCCTGATGTGCATTCATATCCCTGCTCTTCAGATGAAAGAACAATTAAATACAAATGGCCTGAAATATGATGAGCCTCTGTATTTAGCAAATGTTGCAAAGACCTGGTTTAATGTTTCCTCCTTGTCAAAACGCATTCCCAGTCCGTTTGATATTTTTGGTGTTAATAGCTGTCGCTTTACTGTTTGTGGTATGTTCAATATGTCATTCATATTGCAGCAAACATTTGCTGCAGCAGTAAACAAGTGAGAAGTCATCATTGTGCTGGGCTGAATGCTTCTCACTATACTAGATGGAAGGAAGGGCTACTCTCACTTAGGATGTGTGGCACTGTTCATACGGAGTCTTCATATCTCTAATTAAAGAAAGCTTTGCTAGATTGCACCTTTATGAGGAGGGAGATCTAGAATTTCAGTTAAATGAAAAAATTTTTCTTTGTTACACTGCCGTTTTTGGGTACATGGTTTCTTGGGCTTAATTCCCTCTTCTGTTTCTCTGTCACACAGTTTGAATCATTATGGTATATAGGGGCTGACTGGGCCAGGGAATGAAAATAGCCAATGGGCTAGCATGGGAGCCTGGACCTGCAGTGTTTCTCCTGGTCCTGCCATGGTCTGCAGTTCCAGTATGTTCTTTCATCCCATGTGTAGCTTCCCCCCACCCCAGGAATATCATCATGAATGCACGTGTTCCCATGGCCCTCCACAGCTGATGTTTATCACCACTGTTTTTTTTTAACTCCTTGTTGCAATAATGTGATGCTTTTGTTTAATTGCAAGTCTTTGAAAGATATCTGTGCATTTTTCCTGTGTTTTTTCCTTTTTTCCTCCCTATTTGTGTTGCAAACTACTAAACATCTACATACAAGATTAAAAAAAAAAACCTAAGATATATGCTCTAATAGCAATATTTGGTTGATTGTTATGACTGTTAAAGCATCATTTTTACCTTAAAATACCAAACAAAGCTATAATAATATTGAAAAATGGAAACTTTTGGTTTAGAAGAAAATGTTTTTGTACTTTGAGACTCCTCGGAGGAGATTGCTGGGGACATCTTGTTAAGTAAAGCTGCGGCTGAAGGTTTTTAAGGAAGGTATTGAGAAATAACCAATGGCATTACATATGTCATCTCTGTGAGGTAAGTGTATGTGGCTCTTGTATGCGCATTTGTTTGATTTGATATTGTAAATGTCCGTGGCTGTGTGCTTTATTTTAAATGGTCAGAACAGAAGAGGTTTGTAGTTCTGTTGGAGAGAAAACAAATCTTTACTGCTCAGTGTTTGAGAGCGTATGTTTGGTAACTGAATCACTGAGCTAATTAAAAAAAAAAAAAAAAAGGCCTTCACGAAGGAGATAAATTCCAAAAATCTCTTTAACTTTCCTTCCCTTCCAAGCTCAGTAACTTTTAGGTAAGTCGAGAAAAAGTTCAGTCAAAGTGCTATTCTTGAGCAATAAGGTTTTGGTTAAGTCATTTCTTCTGCCTCTGACTTCCCAGCTTGCCTCAAAACTCCTAGCTGAATAACAGATGTGGGCCCTGGAAAAGTTCATGGTAAAAGATGGTTTTTAGTCTGTAATATTTGTAGTCAATTAGGAGGATGAGTAGCAGATGGGAGTGGAAATAGAGAAGTAAAATGGTTCCAGGTGACACAGCAAGCTGACTGCAAAGCAGAGATCCCAGGTCCCCCATGTTCTGCTCCAGCCCTGTGTTCATTAAGCTCTCTCATTTGTGATGTGACTGAAGGGAAAGCTGGCACTTCACAGTGCTTATGGGGGAAAAAAACCCAGAATTTGAAAAAGTCTCTATGGGGTCTTTTAAACTACTAAAAGTCTCTATGGGGTCTTGTTTTCCCCAGGGCTCTGAGAATTTTTCTTGGGCTGTGAATTGTTTATAGGATGTTCTTCTGAGGTCTCTCGCAAGAAACTAGTCAACAGAGTGGTCTGGAACCTGGATTCTCCAGTCAGATACTCTGAACTTCCGAAGCTCCACAGGAGCTCCTTAAACAGAACCAAAACCTGTTGTGTAAAAGTTGTGTTAGAGAGAAAAGCTGGAATCCTGCTGAGCTGTTAGTTTAGTTCAGAGTTGTTGCAGAGAGGTAAAGATTTTTTTTAAACAATCTCAGTCTAAAAAAAAAAAACCAGAAACAAGCCATATGCTGAGAAGCCTGCATTCTGAGACTTCACTTCAGATGAGAGCCATATACAGCATTTTTTTTTGGTACTTATTTAGACAAAAGGTGCTACAATGCTTTGAAGTGCAAGGTTCTGTTTTTGTTGCTGTGCTTTAGAATTAAATAACTTATTCCTGTTCTTCAGTGGAAACGATGCGTAGTTTCTCTGGCTGTAAACAGGTAGTAGTGTGGGGGGTGTGTGTGTGTGTTATTGTGTGCGTGTTTTTTTTTTCCTTTTCTTCCCATGAGCTGGTATTTT